TCTCATATTTAAAAACTGTTCACTAGGAATATTATCGGCTATTTTAGAAGGCCCATCGAAAACGGTAGTCCCAGACTGGACGAAGCTTAATCATCGAAATATTTCTTTTTTTCATTACAGAATAGTGCTCAGCCAGACGCAAGCATAAACAATGCGAATGCTGCAGCGAACGATGTAAGAACCAGTGGTCGTACGAACAATTCTGAGGGGAAAAATGAAATCAGTGAAAGGTTAGATATTCTGGAAGTGCTTCTCTGGAAGTGCTTTCTGGAAGTGCTTCTCTGGAAGTGCTTTCTGGAAGTGCTTTTCTCTTTACCGGATTTCCAAGAAAGCGACTCTTTTTGAAATTTTGTAGCAATGCTTCTTGTATGCGCCTTTAAACTGCGTCGAAAGTTTCGAACCATTTTCCGGGTTGTTTCCGTGTTAATAAAAAAAATCATAATTCAGGAGCGTGCGCGATTCGGTAATGCTTGGGATTACATTCCTCATCTATCTGTTACTTGGTTCTTATGTATTTTCGTTGTACGAACCAGATATGGACTTCTTCAAGGCTGTTTATTTTAATTTTATTACGCTTACAACTATTGGCCTGGGTGATGTGGTACCAAAAAGGTAAATTTTACTTGTCATGCTTTTACTGTATAAAAGATTTTTAGCGAAAGTCATTCGAAACTTAATATTTCTTAAAAAGATAGACAACTGTGTAAGAAATCTATTTTAAGAAAGGACCAGCCTTCGATATAAGGCAAGGTGCTTAAAACCTAAAAATGCTACTAATTCACCTATGGTGCAGCCGACAGTCATATCATTTTCTTTCTTTTCCGTTTTTTGGTTATTTCGACCACTGATGTATATCGCCGACTGATCAGCTGTCTGGCAACTTACTTGTTATGCAACTTGATTTTCTTTCGGCCATTAAGGGGATTATAGGCTCAATGATACTGGCAAAAAAGGCACACTGGTACAACTTTAACCATTAAGAGATTCGAGCACTGAACGTCAATGCCTCATCCTCATGGACTGCTAATCCGAGACCGTTTTGAGGAGCCTAGGCAAAATTTTTGAGACAAGCGAGTTGTATCGGACAGTGGTCACCACACTTTATTATATTTACAGCTTAAACTCCTAAGGATCTAAGCTTTCTTGAAAGACTGTTTGTTAAAGGTTAAAAAAAATTTTTACTGTTACTTTGCTGGCCAACATACAGAGTCAGAAAAAAATAATTTCTTTTACAAATGCACTTTACAGTAAAAAATATCTGCTTGTTACGCTACTGTATACAACAATTGGTTTATCGCTAACAACAACTGCCATGGAGCTCGCAGCCAATCTGCTTAAAAAAATCCATTATTTTGGGCGAAAAATAGAAAACGTTTCGAACATTAGCGTTTGGTTTGGAGGCAAAAAGTACGCATTTCATCTTTCTGAAGGTTTGGACTCATGATTTATAATACGTTTCGATGCAGCCGGTGCTAACTGGAAATCCCAGGATCAAAAGCCTGGCGTAGCATGGGAGCATACCAGCAACATCACTAGTATGGCACATTCGCTTTCATGGTCTACTTCACTGCGCAGCATCAATTTAAAACCATTGATTCGAACTTACTTTCATAACTTAATAATTCCAAGAATAAAACTTCATGTCATCAGTTACTAAAGTAGAATCGCACACATTAAAACAATGATTTTTCGGAAACCGAATAACGTTCAAGAGAAAAAAATCGGAATTTCAGGATGACAATGAAAAAATTGGTGCAACATCTTGGTGATCATATGAATGTACCGGAGCGTGAGCTCAAAGATCTGAATTTGGATGTTTTTGTCAAATCCGCCATGAAAGTAGAGGCCGGTGTGATAAAAACCCTTCGGGTACATTGTCAGATCCATAAATTATATCAAAGAAAACACTTGCATGAAAACATTTTGTTTTTTGGAGTTAGAAAGATTAAGCGAACTTCAAGATTGCATTAATCTCCTAGCAGCGGAATTGATCTCAATTCTAGAATTTTTCAAAAAAATTCATCATGTTCGTTGCTTCTGCAAAATCGTTTCAATAGGAAAACGTATCTGTTTTGATTTCAGTCAATCTCGCTAGCATGATTCAAAGACCATATCGCCATTGAAGCCAGACTTTTCCATTACTGATCGTGAATGAAATAAAAAAACATCCCTAATAAACCTCAGTTCGGTTCGATCTTTGAGAAATTCAGATGTACTAGTAATTGTTGTCCGTAAAATTTTTAATTATAGAAACCGAAAGTGACGATGCGTGGGCGTTCAAAATATCCATCTGCTCTGCACTATTCCGATATACGTAAATCCGGTGAATCGGAAAATTTGAAATACATTGACGAGAAAAGGGAGAGTAGCATTTCTGGTTCGCTGAATTTA